CCCCCTGCCATGAGCAGGGACACTTTCCACTAGCCCAGGTTGCTCCAAGCCCCGTCCAACCTGGCCTTGGACACTTCCAGGGATCCAGGGGCAGCCACAGCTTCCCTGGGCACCCTGTGCCAGGGCCTGCCCACCCTTACAGGCAGGAATTCCTTCCCAAAATCCAACCTAACTTTCCCTTTTTCATTTTGAACCCATCACCCAGTGTCCCCTCACTGCAGCTCCTGATAAAAAGAAACATGAATGACAGGGGGTAACATTTACAGCCAAAACTGCTTTGAACACTCCATGACAAAACCCAAGTGCTTAATAAATATCCCAAATGGGAAAGCAAGGGTTTCACATTCCACTCCTGAATATCCTCACAGAGAACATCAACAAGATGCCACTGAGCATCTCAGCTCTCAAAAATACAAATCCTACTGACTTCATCCCAAAAGAAAAGCCTGTCATTTCCCAGAAGAGGAACTCCACAGGAACGAGAAGAAAACTCAACAGCGCTGGTTCCACGCCATCCCAAACACCTTCCTCGTGGAAAAAAAACCAACAGTACACCGAGCTCAGGCATGGCTGCAGCAAACACTGTAACCAGAAGGCTTCGATGTGCAGGGGAAGAGTGGAATCCCCCCAGTGTGACAGATGCTTTATGGTCATTTATAAGTGGCAGCAAGGAATATTCACCAGGGGCAGAAGTGCCGAGTCAGCGCTGGCCAATCCACTCGGCTGGCAGCTGCCAGAACAGATCCGTATAAAAGTTGGGAATATCTGATTAAAAACTGTCTCGGCCGTAGCTACACTGGTATCAAAAGACACAAACAAATCCCTTAATACTCCATTCCTAACCCACTGACTTTAAGCAGTAAAATGCTTTAACTGTTAAGTTCTCACAATCTGTGAAATTAGAATGGCATTAAGGATTATTTTCTAAATATCAAATACAGGCTCTGAACAGCCTTTGGCTGCAGCAGGAACCACACTCCAGAGCTCTGAGAATAAGGCAGTGACCACACAAGCAGAGCCAAAACCTGACTCAGACTGAACACAGCCCCACTTTTATGGCAACCTTTAAAAAAATTAAAAACAACAAACAAACAAACAAACAAACAAAAAGTGTATTTTTTTTGTTTTAAATTGCATTTGAGCAAAAGAGTCTGTGTGTGCCACTATCCAATGTCACTGCTCACGGTATTTCTGCAGCAGCCCTGTGAGTGGTTTGGGTTGGAGGGGATCTTAAATCCCATCTCATTCCAAGCCCTTTCCATGGGCAGGGACACCTTCCACCAGCCCAGGTTGCTCCAAGCCCCCTCCAACCTGGCCTTGGACATTTTCCCAAATCTCTCCACCAAACCTATTCACTCAAAACCGCTCAGATAAAAAGTCCATGAAGGAAACCTTAGCAAGAATCAGCTCCAGCAAATTATCCCCCTAACGCAGCTCTGATTTTCCAGCTCCCTTCAGGACACCAACTTCCACAGCTACAGGCAGACTCGACGTTCTGATGCAACCAAATTCCAGCAGCTAACCAAAATAAGGGCCAGTCTTATGCTACTCCAAGTGCTTCCAGAAAAACCCCGTGGAGTGCAGACAGTGTTTACACAGCTCCTGATGGGACCCTGTTACCAAACCAAATTAAGACCACAAAGCCCTCCTGAAAAGCTGCAGGTTCACTGACAGGTCACGAAACATCCAACCACCCCCCGTGGGAGTTTACCTGGGATGGGATCTGACCAGCCACTTCCCAGTGCTGGAGATTAAATCCCATTTACAGTTTCCAGCCTCTTTTCTAATTTTTTCTGCTCCAAGACACCCGTCAGCTGGATGGTTCTGCATTAACCACACACACAACATCTATTTCAGCATGAAACAGATGCAGGAGCAAATTTATGCCTTTTTTAAATACTGGTTTGGGGTTTTCATGTTTAGGACTAAGGTGGGCAAACAGAAAAGCCAGGTTAAATTTGACAGGGTGGGGACGAAAAAATACTGTATCATCAAATTCTAGTGAGCTCCTCATCTTCCTCATCAGAACCTCTTTCCAAAGTCAGTAATTTAAGAGAGCTTGGTATGATGTTTTGAGAGGTAAATTATTTGAATGGATCATAATTGGCTGAATAATAATATCCTCTATTTAAAAGGAAAAAAGCTTTCCCACCACAGATAACAAACACATTAGGATTGTAATGGAAATCACTCCCAAGACTGCTAGACCCAAACTTGGATCTATTTATACACGCTGTGAATAGACAAGAAAAGAGTTTATTTACAGATGGTTTCTCCCCCAGCCTGAAATGCATTTTGGGGGAAAAAAAAAAAAAAAAAAGAGATAAATATTAAAACAACATCAACAATCCAGCACTTACCAGCAATCCTACAATCAACCATTGTGTGCCTCGTGACAGACAAGAGAAATAAAACCCACAAACACTAAGAAAACACAGCTCAGTTTTAAGCTTTTCATGGCAGTAATGAAAAGCAAAGTGGGCAGGAAAATTTTAGAAAAGCCTTAAATATTCTTCTGTAACTTAATATCGAAGAGAAATATTTGCTTAACCTCCGCCTTCACCATCCAAAAAAAGAGCCAGTTACTCTAAAAGCTACCAAATGCCCCCAGAAGAATGTGAAGCACGAACCACCACCACCAGAAAGCATCTGGGGAAGAGGCAGATGTCCCACAGGCAGAGCCTGCCCGGCTTAGACATCCCAAAAAACAACTGTGCTGGAGACGCTGGTGACTCATTATTAGCCAAAGAGCAGAGAAACCACTTGAAGAAGCGAGGGGAAAATTCCGTGTTAATTTAAGAGCGCTCTCTAGCAAAGCCTCCCCGAGCTCTGCGACACAAAACCAGTTGGATATTCGCTAATAAATGCGTTTTGTAAACACGACTGACGGCCAGCACAAGATGTGCCATCTGCACTTGAGACTCACCAGGCACTAAGGAAAATAAAAGCACCGTGTTTACACGTTAAGCCCTTTCAAGGAAGAGAGAAAAAAAAAAAAAAAAAAAGGTTTGCCTGACTTTTAAAATTATCGTAACGTCAGTGACTTTGAAAAATAAAAGTTTGCTGAGGGTATTTGTCATCAGAGGCAGTGCCATCTGATTCAGTATTCCCTTGATACAGTTCCTCCCTGTTGCAGGGCTTTACAAAAACAAAGAGCAAACCAATGACCTAGAAACAAATGTGGCCTCTCAAACTACTTTAAACTCATTAACTTTATACTTCTTTCAGGCTCATAACCACGTCTTCTAAAACCACTGCCAAAAACTTGGATTTAAACTCGCCAGGCTGCACTAGGAGAAGGTTTGGGTTTATTCCTTATCTGAAAGCGTTTCAGGAGTAAAAGGCACATTTTTCATAACCCAAAGAATGGGAGGGGGTGGGGGGAGAGGGTTGCGGGGTTGTGTTTTATTTTTGTTGTTGTTTGAAGGGGATTATGTTTACATGGCACAGAGCAGAGCCATGAATTCAAACCAGCTCCGGAACCGGAAGCTGGATGACATGTCAGCACAGCTCTCCTCTAATTACCAGGCTAATGAGAAGCAGAATATTTCTTTTTCCACAAAGAGATGACACAAAAAAAAAAAAAATACTTCCCTGCAACACAACTAGTTATTTCTTGTCGCGCTGCCCCGTGCTACGCAGGCACACACAAAACGAAGCAGCTCTCAAGGTATGCTGAGTGCCAGGTTTATGGCAGCTGAGATGTTCTTTTTAAAGGATTTAGCGTTGAAATTCCTCGGAAAAAAAAAAAAGTTGACTGATCCCTGCACAGCACCGTAGGAGAAGGAAAAAAAAAACAAAAAAACAAAAGAGGAAAGTAAATATGCACCGTGAAAACTTCTAAAAATAACTCCCCGAGGTCATAAGTAACCATTTCAAAGGGGTGGTGGGAACAGGATCCATCTATAAAACTTCAATTTGAACATTAGCAGAGAGCCCTCCCCCAGCACGGGCAATTACCGCTGCCTTTCATGTGGCCCAGGAACACACCTTTCCTTGCACGCTTGGCTGTGCCAGGTCTATTTTAAACACACTCAACAGCACTACAAAGGGAAACATCACACAGCCTGCCTTCCCTTGCAAGCTGAACGTGCAGGTTGCCAAACGCAGGCTGGAAAATTCAAGGCTTTCTTTAAAAAGCTACCCAGCCCTAAAAGCTGCCGAGAGCATCTGTGATGCCTGAGGAACATCCCTGATGGATGGGGAACGTCCCTGATGGATGGGGAATGTCCCTGATGGATAGGGAACGTCCCTGATGGATGGGGAATGCCCCTGATGGATGAGGAATGAGCTCGTGTGAGAGCAACACCCCAGTCCTACACCTCCTGTCCCCCACGGCTGTGGTTCTGGCAATACAGATTCACACACTCACAGAATGGTTTGGGTTGGAAGGGACCTTAAAGATCCCCCAGTTCCACCCCCCCTGCCGCGGACAGGGACACCTTTGGCACGCACCACTTCGAGAGCACCTACGTGATGTGCTGCGCCAACTCTACCCTCGTGCTGGAACTCCGTTCCAGCTTCTGAAGAGCTTTAATCTGCTTCTGCCTTTCGCGGGCTATTATTAACCTCGGGGATAAACTTGCACCCTTTTAATCGGGTGCTTTAACCGGGTGCGTTCTGGAAAACAGGTACGGCCAGCAGATATCCTCTACCTGCTCGGCAGACATCCTCTACCTGCTCAGCAGACATCCTCTACCTCCTCCGGCAGTACCGTGGAAAGGATCACCCGCAGTATTCACCAAGCCAAGCCTCGAGCGCAAATCACGGAATCCCAGGATGGTTTGGGCTGGAAGGCACCTTAGGGATCGCGGCATTCCAACCCCCTGCCACGGGCAGGGACACTTTCCACTAGACCAGGTGGCTCCGGCCTCGGACACTCCCAGGGATCCAGGGGCAGCCGCAGCTCCTCTGGGAAACCTCTTCCCTCACGTCCAACCCTTTTAAAGACAAGTGGGAGCCCCCGGGCTGTGCCAGGGGCGGCCCCCGGCGCCGCTCACCTTGTACACGTCGCCGTAGGTGCCGCTCCCGACCCGCTGGATCAGCTCGTAGTCCTGCTGCGGGTTCCGCCTCAGGATGTCCCCGCTCGCCCGCGCCGCCGGCTCCATGTCCAGCGCCGCGTCCCTCCGGGATGCTCCTACCGGCCCATGGCTCCTGCGGCGGGGAGGGGGGATCAGGAGGGGCCCGGCCCGGCCGAGACAAAGGCGGGCGGGCGGCCGCGCCCTCCGCGGCTCCCGGGGCTCGGCGGGGCCGAGCAGGAAGCGGCGGGGCCGGGCGGGCTGGGCTGGGCTGGGCTGGGCTGGGCGGTGCGGGGGCCGCTCGGGCCCGTCCGCCGGGGCGGCCAGGCCGGGCCGGCTCCTACCTGCGAGCCGCAGCCCTTTGTCCCGCCGGAGAGGGAGGGAGGGAGGGAGGGAAGGAAGGAGGGAGGGAGGGAGAGCGGCCGCCTCCTTTTGCTTTCCCTCCTCCTTTTCCTCCTCCTTCGCGTTCTCCTTCCGCGGCCGAGCCGCGCCGGGTCCGCTCGGGTCGGGCCGGGCCGGGCCGGCAGCGCCGCCGCAGCGCCCCGGCGCGGCCACGGCCGGCCCCGCTCCCTTCCCTTCCCTTCCCCTCCCTTCCCTTCTCCTCCCCTCCCCTCCCCGCCCGGCCCCGCGGGAGGGGGAACCGCTGCCCCGGGGCTGTTACCGGGCGCTGCCCCCCCCTCCCGCCCGGGGCCGCCACGTCCGGAGCCCGTGGAGTGGTGACAGGGTGGTTGGAGTTAGAAGGGATCGTGTAAAGATCATCCACCTCCCAACACCCCCCCTGCCATGGGCAGGGACACCTTCCGCTAGACCAGGTGGGTACAGGCCACGTCCTGCCCGGCCTTGGGATCCAGGGGCAGCCACAGCTTCTCTGGGCAGCCTGTGCCGAGGGTCTCACCACCCTCACAGCCAACAATTCCTTCCCAATATCCATCCTAAATCTCCCCTTTTCCAGCTTAAAGCCATTCCCCCTTGTCCTGTCCCTCCATGCCTTGTGCCCAGTCCCTCTCCAGCTCTCCTGGAGCCCCTTTAGGCCCTGCAAGGGGCTCTCAGGTCTCCCTGGATCCTTCTCTTCTCCAGGTGAACCCCCCCAGCTCTCCCAGCCTGGCTCCAGAGCAGAGGGACTCCAGCCCTCGGAGCATCTCCATGTGTTCCTCTGACCCCCTCCAACAGGTGTTTATTGTGGAGGGACAAGTGTGGGGGCAGGCACGGCCTTTACCCTGTGCCCCTTGGTTTGAGGCAGGAGGAAAGCCCCAAGCTCGCCTACACCACCTGTATATTATACATATCTCTATCCCTATCCACATGTGTTTCTACCAAACACGAGGCTGTGAGGTGCAAGAGGAGGATGTAGGACTGCTCTGGGCTAATCAGGCACCGGGGCATTTAGCTCTGTGGGCAGCCAGTGCAGTGAGAGTCACAGCAGAATTACCTGGGACCTGTTGGGACCTGCCTCCTTGGGCTCCTAAAGCTGAAAAGGCTTCTGTGAGACTGTGCAAAGTGGAAGGTATTCTGTAGCTGCCCTTCCCTCTTCGGAGGACAATTATTTTCAGCGAAGCAGCTGAAATCCTGAGCAGAACTCACCTCTGGTCTCTCCAGGAAACCCAGAGGTTGGGGGTAGGGGGCAGAGGAATGCTGGAATTCGCAGTAGCATTCGCTGCACATAAAAGCATTAAGGCCTAAAAAAGGAGGTGTGATTTTTCTAGGCGTAAAATCTACCCCGTTCTCAGCGCAGGAAATACGTCTGCAGAAGTTAGGTAGGAAAAAAAACTCAAATGGATGCCAGATGTAGGAGTCTCTTTGGTGTCCAGGATGGTTATTTAAGAACAGTTTCTGCGTTTCTGGCAGCCACACAGCCCACGCTGGTCCAATATAGTCTAACGACAGCGTGGCTGGACAGTGATCCTCGGTTTAAAATGGAGTCTGGGGTTTAACCCCAAATTGGGAATTGTTTATGGGCTCATTTGAAAGCATGTGTGTCAGGAGCAGGCTCCAAAATGTAACCTGCCCTGCTCCCCAGGGACAGGGGGAGCTCAGGGCTGCTCTTAAAGAGGTTCCCATTTAATTTCCCTTTGTACTCTGAGAGCTTTCTACATCCTGTATGTTCTCTCCAACATAAATACCTAAGTTTTCCTGAACCCCCAACAAACAAGAAACTATTTACCCTTTAGGGAGCTGTATTTCCTCCAGTGATTTTTAACAAAACAATTACCTCTCCCCTCGTAAATCAGCTTCCTGTGCTCCTGGTCCGGAGCTGTTTGTGTCCTTTTTCCTTTCCCTTCCTCAGCTGAGGGTTCGGATGCTGCTTTTCACTCTACCGATTTGCTGCTCTTGACAAGCCAAGGGGGGACAGCGCAGGAAAAAGGACATTTCATTTTCCAGTGGCAGATGGTGCATTAAGGCTTGGCCTCCTAGAACACCTCACAGATCCACGGGCTGGAATGTCACGTAAAAGCTCCCGTATTTTGTCCTTGCTGGGTGAAGTTTCATTTTCCACCTGGAGGGGTTGTTTCTCATCCCGTATTGCCAGAGGTGAAGAGTGGGCTCTCAGAGCCCATCTTGTGTTCTGAGCTTCAGTCCACCTTTCCCAGCTGAGTCTCAGTCCCTGCTGGAAGCGCTACTGGGAAGTGTGCATGGATAAAACCAGCCCTGGGACTGTATCGCTGTTGCCATTTCATGATCCGAAAAAGCGAGGAAAACAGAGCAAATGGCCCCAAGGTGCACCAAGGGAGGTTTAGGTTTGATATTAGGGAAAATTCCCTCGTGGAAAGGGTGGTCAGACATTGGAACAGGCTGTGTTGGAATCACCATTCCTGAAGGGATCCAAAAACCACGTGGATGTGGCACCTGGGGACACGGGCTAGCGGTGGCCTTGGCAGTGCTGGGTTAAGGGTTGGACTCGATCTTAGAGGGCTTTTCCCACCGTAACGATTTAATGAATGATTGTAACGAGTTGTGCAAGGCTCACAGTGCGAGGACATGGCCGGGCACGGCACGCGCTGCCAGGCGTGTTCTCCCGAACAAACCCCCATTCCTGCTCCGCGTTTTCCGCCCCGGACCACGTCGCTTTTCTGGTCGCTTTTCTGGTCGCTTTTCTGGCCAAGCGTGTTTCGGAATGTGCTTTTATGCACAGCATCTTTCTGTCTGAATGGGTCCCCAGCCTTAAAAGGAATGTTAAGTGGTTTTACATAAGGCATTACGTAGGATTAGAGAATGTGAGCTGTTTGTATTGTAGTCTTAGGAGGAAGAACAGCCAAGGTTATTTTAACGAGACACTGACCGAGATTCATCTGCTAACGGGAGGTGCACGAATTTCTAACTGAGCAGTGTAATGAAGGCGGTTTCAGAAGCAGCAAAACGTGGATGCACGTTCATTGGCAAAAGAGAAGTGCTGAGGTATGAAACAGCAGCACGAGGGAAAGATACTTCAGCCCTAGTTTTTGTAAATGTCTTTTTTATTCCAATGGGGACAGTTGGGGTGGCAGCTGCTGCGGGCACGTGATGACAAGGACCAAAATGCCCGGAAAAATCTAAAGGGCAGAAAGAGGGAGAGGTCTTGGCAAGATGGGTGGAGGGAACACCCAGCCAAGGGAATAGCTCTGAGCAGGAGAAGGAGGCCTGTTCGATGCTTCTTGGGAACTCACTTGGGAAAGTCCGACACAGACTGAGGATCTCTCCTGTGGTTGTGCTGAGATGCCCTGGGAAGAGAGAAGCCTTTCCAGGCTGTCAGGAGCTTTGTGTCCCTTGCAGGAACAGGAGAATGAAGTGAGGCCCAGCAGGGATTTGTTTTTCACGGAAGGAAGAGGAGCACTGTGGCTATACATTATTTTTGTGTCACCCTGTTTACGTCGATGTATCTCAGGAGACTTTTGCAGCTGATTGTGCTGTTTGCATTCAAAGGAAGGAAACCAGCTGGATGCCCTTCCCTCCCACGTGCGCATGCAGGAGGGCAGAGGTGAAGCCCAGCAGCTCCACCAACAGCAACAGCTCAGCGACGAGGACGCAGGAAAACGTGGCCACTCCACTAAAAACAGCATCAACAAGGGGCGTTCAGAGCACTGCCTGGAAACCAGGCTGCTCCCCGCCTTTCCAGGTGCACAGACCTGGCTGGAACACGTTGCAAATATCTTGCTGAATCATCCAGGCAGGTGGATTGGGCTGGCCCTGCCAAGGGGAGCTGGAAGCCTCTTCCTGGCCGAGGTGCATCTTCCAAGGGGAAATCCTAGAAGCAAACTTGGCACGCGCGGGGTTTGGCTTGGACTCACTGAAGCCACGTTGCAAAAAAAAGAAAAGAGGCTGGTGAGGAAGGATGTTTTCAATGTAATGTCCATCTGCCCCTCGGTGCAGGAAAGAACAAATGCAAAACAGCGTCGGAAATAGATGGGAAGTTGGGCTTAGGAGAGATCTCACTGACCTCTGAAATGAAAATCGGGAGTTGGAAGGGAGAGGATCATCCAGTCCAACCCCTGGCCTTGCACAGACACTCCAACAATCCCACCCTGTCCCTCAGAGCGTTGTCCAAACCCTCCTGGAGCTCTGGCAGCCTTGGGGCCGTGCCCACTGCCCTGGGGAGCCTGTTCATTGCCAACCACCCTCTGGGGGAAGAACCTTTTCCTAATAAAGATAAACAAGAGGACCATAGATGGTGCAAAGGCAGCTCCTGAGGTAAAACCAGGCCTGTGGGCTTGGCTTGCTTGAAGCTTTGTGCTGATGGCTCCAAATCTCCATGGGTTTTGTTTTTAATTCTTAAGGAGCTCCTTCAGTTTCCAGAGCATCTTCCAGGAGGCAGGACCTTCACAGTGACTGATTAAGCAAGTCATTTAATTAACTGCTGGAATCCTGTCTCCTCCACAGTGAAATACCTCTGTTGCAGCCCTAGTGTGCAATGCTGTTTACAGAAGCAGCCAGGATAATTCCTGTGGCTGCAGAGCCCCTGTAAATGTAGGTGGCCATAGCACAACTCAGGGTGAGAAATGGGAACAGCAGGAATAGCAGGATTTCCTAAGCAACAAAGATCTGCTTCACTTAAAATACTTCAGTAAGAAAAGAAAAAAAAACCAACCACAACAGAAAGACGTTAGGGAGGCTTTAGCTCCAGGAGTGGGGAAAAAAACTGGTGTTTCCTAGGAATTGTGGCCTCTTAACCCAAAAATAAGGGTGCAGAAATGAAACCAGCAGTGACAAACGTGTGATTCCTCTCTGCTGGGGAGACATCCCCTTGCAGCGCTCCCAACACGGATTCCTTGGACTCTCCCGTGCAGTTAAGAAGAAGCAGGGAAGGAGCGAAGGCGGAAGCGATCACAGAAACTGCGGGGAGGAAGCGAACGATTCCAGGATCCCTGGATAACCATGGATCTGCCACCTCTCAGGGGGGGGCTCAACCAACGCCTTGGCGAGGAAAACCCGCGTGGGTGGCACCGTTTCCCTCAGCAGCAAGTCCGTGGTGGCACCTGAGCAAGAGCAGAGCCCTTGGCAGCGCCGTCCCTTCGGCGCCTCTTACGTAAGCGTTGCACAACGAGGGGTTTGAAAAGCAACTCTGAAGAGCCGCCTGGGTAAGTGGGACAGTCAAATCAAGGTAAATTATGAAACAGCTCCTGCCGCTTGTTACACATGAGGGACTTCATTCCAGGTTTTCTCCTCGTTCTGGGGCCTTCCCGGTGCTGTATCTCCCCGTCGCACCGATCGGGAACCGCCGGCTCCGCTCCGTCTCTCTGTGGTGTTTTCCCCTTCTTGCCTTTTTTTAGCATCATTTTTCCTCAAGAATCCTTCCATTCCGTGCCCATTCAGCGCATCTGCTGCGGAATCAGCTCTTTGTGAGCCGGCAGCGCGGGCAGCAAGAACGGAAAGATGCTTCCTGGGAAGGAAGGGCTGTTTGAAAAACTGGGAAAATAAAGGGAGGATGAATCGGTGGAGCAGAGGGATGGATGAAAATGAACAAATGCTGAGTTCACCCCGGGGAAACAAATTCATCTGCAACCCCCCCCCCCAACTTGGGATCATAGGAAATAATGCAGGAAAAGGCCTTGGGAGTTCATGGAGACAATCCCTCCGGAACAGCATGGGATCAAACCTCTCCGCTCCTCTTTGGTTTGGGCACCACGTGCCATAATGGCAAGAGAAAAGGAGAAAATGCCAGTAAATGGGGCAGTGCAAGCTCGACCTTAGCAGCAATTCTCAAAGGGAATGAGGAAAACAGGACCTGAGCCCATCTCAGTTTAATTAGACTTCCAAATTAACAGATTTCCATCCTCCTTTTTTTAACCCCTCTCCGTTTCCCAGCTGCTTTTCTTCTCATCTCCCATTTCAACCCATCTGAACTCCTCTGAGTGTCCAGCAGAAGAAATATCCCCTCAGAACACCAATCTCTTCTCTGCTACATTGAAGCAGCAACGGGCCTGTGCAATTTTCGGGATTATCTGTAAAAATCCTAAGGGAGCTTCTGCAGAGCTGAGCTCCTCATGGTCCCAGTGCCCAGCAGGATCCCTGCCACGTGAGCCAGCACTTCAGCGAGCCAAAATGAGCCAAAATTACATGTTTCATCCTGATGCTGTAAACAAAGGGAAGAAGCCAATGGGGGAGGCAGTCACAGAGTATTGGAGAAGGCACTTAGGAATTAGGTATCAGCATATCAATGGGAGCACAACAACACTTGGCTTTGGCAGGGATCAGCTGCCCGGAACAGCAAATTGGTTCCTTTTTCGATGTTTTTCCCCCTGTCAAAGATGAAGAGTGGATCCTGCCGGCTCCTGGGATTCCAGCAAAGCTGGATGGCCACCGGCTTTCCCCGACCGCTGCAGGCCAGAGTCCAGAAATGAGAAGCATTCCCCCAAAATCTGCTCTTGCAGATGCAGTCTTGGGGCTCAGTGCCCTCTGGTGACCACCAGGTTTCCAGTTTCATGGGTTGTTCCCTGAGCACTGTGCTGTGCATCTGCCAAAGAGCAGCGCTGGGATGTGGCTCCAGAGGCAGATTGACTCCAGCAGCCTGTTGGAATCGCAAGTGTGGGCAAACACTGGGCGAGGATGAGCGCGTTCACTCCCACGTGGTCCACATGGGGAGGGTGGGAATGGGCAAACTCCCTGTGGCTGGCATTGCCCAGAAAGCCAAACACATCCTGGGCTCATCCCCGGCGGTATGGGCAGCAGGGAGAGGGAGGGGATTATTCCCCTCCACCCTGCTGTTGTGAGAGAATCCGTCTGGAGTTCTGTGTCCAGCTCTGGGGCTCCCAACATAATGAGGATGTGGAGGTGTTGGAGCGAGTCCTGAGGAGGCCACAGAAATGCTCTGAGGGTGGAGCCCCTCTGCTCTGGAGCCAGGCTGGGAGAGCTGGGGGGATCACCTGGAGAAGAGAAGGTTCCAGGGAGACCTGAGAGCCACTTCCAGGGCCTAAAGGGGCTCCAGGAGAGCTGGAGAGGGACTGGGGACAAGGGATGGAGGGACAGGACACAGGGAATGGCTTCCCACTGCCAGAGCACTAGGTTAGATGGGATACTGGGAAGGAATTGTCTGTGAGGGTGGGCAGGCCCTGGCACAGGTTGCCCAGAGAAGCTGTGGCTGCCCCTGGATCCCTGGAAGTGTCCAAGGCCAGGTTGGATGGGATTTGGAGCAGCCTGGGCTAGTGGAAGGTGTCCCTGCCCATGGCAGGGGGTGGGAATTAGATGGGCTTTAAGATCCATTCCAACCCAGGCCATTCTGTGATTCCATGTTATCAAGCACAGCTAAATCTTCCCCAGAAGTGCCCACCCCACCAGGTCTTCAAGCTGCATCATTTGTGCCATATCTGCACGTGCACAGTGTGTATCATCTCCTGCTGCCCGTGGATTCTGCAGGCACAGGTGGAATTGGGGAGCAGGAGCTGGCTCACCCCCCCCCCCCAGGGCAGGATCCCTCTGGTGAATTCTCTGCTCCCGTGTTCCTGTGTGCTCCCTGTGTGCTCTGGGAAGGGCACATTGTGTGTCTGAGCTCTGTGTGTGTGGGAACTGTGGGGCTCTGCTTTGGGAGTGACCCCACCTGTGTCCCCCAGCCATTCCCCCTGTGGGTGGGTGCCCATGGGGGTTCCCAGTACTCCAGATAAGCTGGGTGCCCCAGTGCAGATTCCTCCAGGGTCGGGGTGCCCATGGGGGTGCCCAGTGCCCCTCAAGAGTGGATGCCCCCCAGGCGTGGATGTGGGTGCCCCCCATGATCCCAGTGCCCTGGCAGGAGTGACCTGGATGTGGGACCATCCTGTCTGTGCTGGGTCCTCCATCCACGGACCCCCATGGCTGGGTGCCCAGTACCCCAGACAAGCCTGGTTCCCCAGACAGGGATGCCTCCAGCGTCTGGGTGCCCATGGGGTGTCCAGTCCCCCCCAGGTGTGGATGCCTCCAGGTGTGGAAGCTTCCCATGATCCCAGGGCCCTGGCAGGGGTGACCTGCATGTGGGTGCATCCTGTCTGTGCTGAGCCCCCAGTCCACCTCCCCCATGAGTGGGTGCCCGTGGGGGTGCCCAGTCCCTCCCCATGTGGATGCCTCACACATGGGAGCCCCCATAATCCCGGTGCCCTGCCAGGAGTGACCTGGATGTGGGACCGTCCTGTCTTGTGCTGCGTACCCCATCCATGGCCCCCTGTGACTGCATACCCTTAAGGGTGCCCAGTGCCCCCAGGGTGTGGATGCCCCCCACGATCCCAGGGCCCTGCCAGGAGTGACCTGGATTTGGGACCCTCCCCGCCCGAGCCCCCCACCCCCCCATCCATCCCCCCCGCCGCGGGTGGGTGGGTGCCCAGGGGGGTGCGGTGTGTGTATATATATATATATATATGTGTGTGTGTGTGTGTGTGCCCCCCCGAGCGCGCTGCCCGCGGCTGCCCGGGGGCCGTGCCGGGCCGTGCGGCGGGCGGGGATGGTGCGGCTCCCGCCGGCTCCCCCGCCCGCCCCGCGCCGCCGCCGCCGCCGCAGCCCCGCCAGACGCAGCGCGGCTCGGAGCGCGCACGGAGCCTCCTCCCGCAGCCGCCGCCATGGCCCGGAACCGCCGGGACAGGAGCAGCTGGGGTAGGAGGCGATGGCTCGGCGGGGGCAGCGCGGACAATGCCGGGCCTGCGGCGGCCGCGGCCCGCGCCGGGGCGGGGCTGCGGGGGCACAGCGCGGGCGGGGGGCTCGGCCGGCCCCGGGGCGCGATCCCTGTTGAGGGGGCACGCGGGGATCTGCGAGTCCCCACGGCATCCCCGCGGGGCCGGGGACACCCCGCCCGTCCCGCCCCGCCGGCGGCGCTGGGATGGGGGTGCGGGATGGGGGTGCCCCGCGTTCCGGGGCCTCGCTGGGGCGCGGGGCGGGCGGGGTGTCCCCGGCTCTCGGGCTTGTCACGGCCCCGCCCGGGGCCCGACACCCCGCGGCAGCTGGCCGGGGAGCCCTGCGGCTGCCCCGGCTCCCCTCAGCCCGCCCGGATACCCCTCGCCCTGTCCCTGGTGTCTCCTCGGTCCTGGAGGGGGGATGTCACCTCAGCCACCACCCCTCGTCACCCAGGAGCAGGAGTCCCCCTTGGTCCCAGCCCACCTCCTCCAGGAGCAGGGATCCTGCTCACCCCACCCCATCCAGGAACAGGGAATCCCGCTCCCCCCTCTCCCGCCTCATCCAAGGGGCAGGATTTCCCTCACCTCCAACCCATCTCATCCAGGGATCCCACTCACCCTCACTCCACCTCAGCCAGGGGCAGGATTCCCCTCACCCCCACCCTACCTCATCCAGGAGCAGGAATCCCACTCGCTCCCCTCCCACCTCATCCAGGGGCAGAGATCCCCCTCACCCACATCCCACCTCATCCAGGGGCAGGAATCCTGCTCACCCCACTTTCCTCAGTCAGAGCCACTGGCCTTCCCCGGCAGCTCACCCCTCCAGAGGGTTTTTTCCCATTTCTGGGAGCCGGAGGGCTTTGTTGTCGTGTCACACCTTCCAGAGAGGGGCCATTTTAAACCCGTCCCCTCACAGCCCTCCCTGAGGCCGGGGGATTTTGGGGGGCAGCCAAGCGGGGTGAGTGACGGGGGAGGAGGAAGTTCTGTGGCGTCTTCCTGCAAGGCTTGGGTTCCCTCTGGAGCCGCCTGGATCCTCCAGCGGCCGCTGCTTCCCAGTGGAGCCAGGGCTGGTCCCACAGGTGGGCTGCACCCAGCAAGGGGCTCCTCCGCCTTCACGTGTCGCTTCGCCCGCTTCCACCGACACGCTGTTTTCCTCAGGAAACCAGGTTTTATCCAGCCATTTTCCGTTATTTTGAGGCTGCTGGGGAGGAGAGCAATTTGCCATTTCCTCCGGAGCCACATTCCGGGTGAGCTCGCTCACCGGCGCTCCAGGTATCCTGGCTCCTCGGGCGGAGCGGCTGAGCCGAGCCGCGATGTTTAGATACACAAATTACATCCTAATTTGTGTAGATGAGTGTAGGATTTCCCATGGCAATGATTAGCAGTCCAGAGACGAGCTCCGGGAAGTGCTGGCATAACGGAGTGTGCGATGCGAGCCAGCGGAGCGGGGAGGGGGGGCTTTTTTTTGGGGGGGGGGGGGGGGGGGGGGGGGGGGGGGGGGGGGGGGGGGGGGGGAGAGTAAGGGGTGGAAAATTGGCGAAGCTCGTCTGATCGGTGCCGTGTTTAACTGTGACTTAACGAGGGTCGCCAGATCCTCGGGTAAACCGGAGGGAAAACTTGCCCTGGAATGAATGCGCTGCCGTTCTCAGCTTTGTCTCACGGAGCGTGTGACAGACGTGTCAGCCCTGCGTGTGTTGGGAATTGCACACACGTCCACGTGCTGCTGCTTTCCCTTCAGGTCCTGATGGCAGGAGGAGGGAATGCAAATGACGCCGGAAGGGATGTAAAGGGGGAAAACATCGTCTTGGGAAGCAAGTACAACCTCGGTCCAGCAAGACAAATTAGGCACATCCCTCAGCCTGAGTGCTGCTGAGCCCCACTCTGGGGAAATGTGATGTGTCACTGAGTTGGTGACCTCTCCCCTTAGATCCTCTGCAAGAATCTGGAAGCATCCACAGATCCAAGCTGGATCTGCGTGGGATCAGCCGCCTTCCCCACAGCTCAGAATCACACCCTACATCCCACAGACGTTTACCTCTTCCTAGAGGATTTCCCGGCGCTTTGCCGGGCCGGTTGACGTTGCAAGTAAGAAATTAAGAGGGGGCAAAAATGCCTCTCGTTTTTTACTAGGGGGGAAAAAAAACCCAAAAAAACTCCACCTTTAATGGATTTATTTATTCTATTTATACAACAAAACCTCATTGCCCTGAATGCTGTGTTTACATCCAGTGACTGCAGCATTGTCCGGTGACATCAGTCCGTGGGGTGACCATTTCACTGCTACATTTTTCAGCTGGCGAAGGAGGAGGCTTTTCCTGAAGCTGAGGAGGAAAGGAGAAAGTCCTTTGCTTTGTTCTAAAAATGGGCTTATGGGTCATTAAAAATATTAGCGCTATTTTGAAACGGATCAAACTTTGTCCCAGTTACTCAGGCCTGGAAAGAGGCAGCTGCTTGGTGTAACCCCCCCCCTTCGTTTCATGGAAAATAATTGGCTTTTTTAAAAGCTCCCAGAGCAAATTGGGGTGTTGCCCCTCCCTGGTCGAAGCTGGGTCGCTGTCACATCCCTGGGAGCTCGTGCAGGGGGGTTGTGATGCATCCAGAGCAGGATTTAGCCTTGGGCTAAAGGTCAGCATAAGGCTGTGCCTCATTTAAGGCTCTTCCTGAACTTGGTAAGTGCTGCACAGACCTCACAACTGCTGCCAGTTGAATGGTTGAGGCAGCTGAAGATGATTAAAAAAAAAAAAAAAGCACAAATGATTTCTTGCTGTGAGTGGGGGGACCCTGCTTTTCCCAAAATAAGGATTGCTAATCCAAATCCTGCTTGGCACGGTGAAGTCCAGCCAGCTCAGGGAAGGTTTGTGGAAGATTACACTGATTTTTTTTCCCTGAATTTGTTTGTGCTTGGCAGTTGCTGATGCTCAACAGCCTGCTCCCCCCAGTCCAGTGAAACCATCAGAGATCCCCTCTCCCAGTTGCTCCTTTGAACAGCACAGACTGGAACAAATTGTGGGAAATCTCATGTTTCCCATCGTGGCCTGTGTTGCAGTTGGAATGACCCACCCACCAAGAATTCAGTTGTAAAACCATAAAAGGGATTTCAGAGGTTATAGATACTTCTTGGTGGGGTTTTTCGAGCTGGAGAGGAGATTTGTGAGGGCTCCTAACGGGAGCCAGGAAAGGCCAAGGAAGTGCTTTGAGGAGATGGGGCTTGTTCCCAGCACAGGCCAGGCCCAGCTCATCCCTGCCACACACTTAGATTGCACAGCAGTGGGTTAAACTGGGAAGAAAAGGATGATTTTGGCAGGTTGTTTTTTCCCATTCTGCTTGTTATTTGATTTCTGACCTTTCGTGGTGGATTTTTGGAATCCACTTCCGGGCATTTCTTTGTGACTCTGAGCGCTGGGAACCTGACAAGTGAAAGCTGAGACGTTTCAGACAGAGGGGCCTTCACACAAAAAGCCAGAAATACTCACAGCTAAATGTCTGGCTTGTAAATGAGGGGAGAAAAAATGAAGTGCTGGGACTTGAAAGACAACGTTGCAAGATAAATATGGGACTTGAAAGACAAGACAGCGTTGCAAGATAAATATGATCATAGAGACATGGAATGGTTTGGGTTGGAAGGGGGCTCTAAATTTCGTCTCATTCCACTCCCTGCCATGGGCAGGGACACCTTCCACCAGCCCAGGTTGCTCCAAGCCCAGTCCAACCCGGCCTTGGACACTTCCAGGGATCCAGGGGCAGCCACAGCTTCTCTGGGCAACCTGTGCCAGGGCCTGCCCACCCTCCCAGCCAGGAATTACTTCCCAATATCCCAGGATACTGGGTTAGAAGTCTAACCCTGGAGTTGGTTGTGTCTTGCTGCATTTCCCCTGCTAAGCCCATGGATGAGAAGCAGCAGATGGAAATATTGTTTAGGGCCTGGGTGATCTTCAGGGAAAGAGGGATTTATTTTAACTCCAATGGATCACAGGCTGGAACCTTCTCCAGAGGGGGAAGGAGTCTGGGACGGGTGTTGTCATGCTCTGGGAGGCACAAGGTGGATCATTTCTAGAAGTCACTTCAATCCAGAGAGACCCCAATTCACTTGTTCCTGCCAGAAATGCTCCTACTTGCCATCAGCTGAAGGAGGGTGGAGTGTGACAGCAGGACAGTAGCTGAAGGGGAATTTCCCAACTGGGGTGGAGGCTCTGGAGAAGGGGCTGAACTCTGCCAAGCCCACAAAGTATGTATCGAGCGTTTAAAGCTCCCTATAGGCGTAAACGTTTTCTCCAGACTGTAATTGTAATTTTCATGCCGTATCCTAGGATTTTGTGGCGTGTTTACCAAGCTTAATTTTCAGGCAATTTTAGCGACAAAAGGGTAAAAATAATTTCATGTCAGAAACGACTAAATCCACTGCTGGTGGTGGAGATGAAGGGAGGCTGCTGCTGACGAACAGAGCAGATGAAAGGCCGTGCAGAAAACGTGTCCTGGGGGTGAAGCAGGAGTTTGGGGAGATGTATTCCTGGGAGTGTTCCAGGCCAGGTTGGATGGGTCTTAGAGCAGCCTGGTCTAGTGGAAGGTGTCCCTGCCTGTGGCAGGGGGCTGGAACGAGCTGGTCTCTGCTTTGCTTCATTCCCAAGGTTGCTGTGTGCCTGTGTCTCTGAATCCTGACTATAAGGAGAATTTCCCAGCCGTAGGAATTGCTGTTGCTTCAGAGCCAGCTGAGCACTGGAGCTTCATGTGAGCGGTAGTGGGTGTTGTCATTAAAAAGCTGCAGGTTGGACTTTGGCATCTGAGGTGTTGCAACAGGCAGGTTTGGTGGCTGCTGATCATCCAGGCTCTTGTTTCTGTCAGCATTCAGGGCGGGCAGGTCCCACACCACTCGTGCTATCAGCAGAACCGTTCATCTGCTCATTCTGCCAGAGGGAGAAGGGGCTGAGCTGGCCACGCCGGAGCAGCGGTGCTGCCAGCTGGGTGACTCAGGGCTGGCAGGAAGGA